TAGTAGGCGCTCACGCATTTGAAAAGCAGCTTTGAAAGTTCTCCTGGTACTTCTGTTAATTCTGGTACTTAAATCTTTAGGTACTTGACCTTTACACTCCCCTCTTTCATCATTCCTCTGTCCACTCTGTGAACTTCTGGCGTCGTTCGGCTGCGGCTGGTTGTCCCGGCGATGGTTGCTGCGGTGACATCTCATTGTTGAGGCCTGTGGCTGCTGGGATTCATCCTGAGAGGTCTGCCTAATGTATCTAGTTCCTGCTGTGCTCTCAGTTGCCCTGCCTCCCAGACCGCCCCTGTGGAGAGGACATACAAGTGTCCACTCTGTGGTTTTTCTCAGGCTGATTTACACACGAGGAGTTCTCAGGACGTCCAGCTGGATAAATGTTTAAAGGGGTCGGACTAATAGACTAGCTTTAAATTTTTACCAAGTGCAAACTGAAATATGAGGTAGTGCAGTTTAATGGCGTGTACTTTTTCACTGGCTCCCTGTGTAACGGCCTGGTGATCTGCCAGGTGGATTCACTCTCCTTGTAAAAAGAAAGAAATGCAGCGGTGAATTCCTGCATCTGCAAATCGAAACTACATAAACACCAGCCGCTGGGCGAAGTCACTGGTGTCGTCACTGACCTGGGATCAGTGTCACTAATGATTGACAGAAGTGACAACGTGTTAGATACAGTAGGTGACAATAGTCCAAATCTGAGGTCAATGTCAGAGTCGTCCAGCAGGAGATTCTCCACTTTGGCTCTGACTTTGTGTGTAAATAATTTACACAAAAATATCAACCTGAAACTGAATGGCATCAAAGCCCTAATGTCCGACCTTTACCCCCAGGTGGAATTATTTATTTGGATATAAAACCACAGTATTACTGCACTGTAACCCAACAGGCTGTAAATGAACGATAAGATAAAAGTCACCAGTCAAATAAATCAACACTGTGCTGTCTCTTGGTAACACAGTGGTGGCTTAGGGGTCAAGGAAGTGGACTTGGGTCTGGAAGGTTTCAGGTTCAAGTCCACCAGCTCTGAGCAAGGCACTGTCCCGGTAATAAAAAATTAAATATTGTGCGATATGAAACTCTCAAACTCATTAAAGGATTTGAGCAGCGGCCAACTGCATCTCTTTGTCAATGTTCTACTGGACAGAGAGACCATGAGAACATATTCAGGGACATTCTTGACCTGCGGGGTCAAGTCATTGACTCATTGTCCTTTTGGGAAGCTGTGTGAATCATCAGCTATGCACTTCCTGTTTCTCTGGACACTGG